TTTGGTCTTCCTTCTTTCTTCCTCACTCCCTCTACCATCCCTGCCTGTTCAGGGGTCTGTGGAGCATGGAGCCATCTGAAAAAGGGATTTTAAGGCATTCAACCCACTACAAGCCAGACTGTCCTGGAGGACCCTCAAGCCTTGAACTCAGTTTTTCTTTAGTCCTCTGAGCTGGTGAACTATTATGAAACCCCAAGCATGAGCCAGGTGTAGAGGCACAAGCCTTTAATCATAGCTCCATGGAGGCAGAGAAACAGGCCGGCTGTGGGTTTGTCAATACAGCATGTCCCAGGGCAGCAAGGGCCAGCCAGTCAGCTAGAAAGTGCAACTCCTTCAGGTAAAAGCACACACCAACTGCCAATTGTGGCCTCCCAAAGCCTGCTGAGGCAGTAAGATAAGGAGTCCAAGCTCAGCCTTTGGACAGCAAATTCAAGGCCAGTCTGGGCTACCTGAGACCCAAACAAACAAAATAAAGTATGATCAAACCCAATGAAATACAGTAGGTATTCAGACGTTGTGTAAAATCCCCAGGAGATGATGCTATACAAACTGACAGACACCAGCCATTGTTCTGTAAACACTAAACGTGGAGTCTCTGCAGTTCCCATGCTCTGGGGACACATCCTCCTCCACCCAAGGTCAACTCTGAGTTTTCTTCCAGCTGTGTTATATGCAAGCTCAACCCCACTGGCAGAGAGGCCCATAGCTTGCATGCCTTCCACACATGCTGCCCCAGTTAGTGGTGTCCATATGTGTGCACACTTCGCACTTGTGCAAATTCAACACACGTGTCAGACATACAACTACAGCCTAGAGACAAGCAAGAAAGCATGCCTGGGGACCCTGCCTGTGTGTCACCCCTGTCTCACGTCAGAAGGCTCTGGAGGCCTCAGGGGCTTCAGGATCACATAGCAAAGGTCCAGCCAGTGGTTACAGGTGGTTGTGAGCCACCGTGTGGGTGCTGGGAACTGAACCTCAGTCCTCTGCAAATGCAAACAGTGCTTAGCCACTGAAATCTCTAGCCCTTCATTTTCCTACTTTATCTTTTTTTAACAAGATGCTCTAGGCTGCTTGTGGAGGTGCACACCTGCTATCCCAGCACTCTGAAGGCTGAGGCAGGAAAAGCGCAACTCCAAGGTCAGCCTGAGCTACTCAGCTTCTCTCCAAGAGAACTAAAGGACTGGGGCAGGCAGATGGCTCCGTGGGTGAAGGTGCTGGCTATGAAACCCAACAAACTGAGTTTGCTCTTTGGAACCCACATGACAAAAGGAGAGAGCTGACTCCTGCAAATGGTGAGCTGCCCTCCACACACACCCTGGGGTATGTGGCCTCTATTCAGAATAGACAGACAGACAGATAGATAGATAGATAGATAGATGATGAGTAGATGATTGACAGATAAATGATAAATGACAGATGATAGAGAAATAATAGATGATAAAAGATAGATGGATAAATGATAGATAGATAGATAGATAGATAGATAGATAGATAGATGCAAAAAGAATAAAGAAAATAAACTTCATTTTGGTATGGAGGGCTTACCCTGGCCCACCTTGACATTATCTGAATCTTGTTATATTACACTGACAAAAACTCGCTTCTAAATGAAGCCACATTCTGAACTACTGACGGAAAGAAAATTTGGTGGAAGGACACCACCTCATTATAAGTCATTTGTAGTTGGTTAGAATTCGATTTACTTGTGTGCCTGCATGCAGATGTGTGTGCGCCACAGTAGACATGTGGGAATCAGCAGGCAACTGTGGGGGTCAGTTCACTTTTTATACCATGTCAGCATCAGGTCAGCATCAGAGCCCCAAGGTCAGCATCAGGTTCTTGGGCTTGGAGGCAAGTATCCTTCACCACTGAGACATTTTTCCAGGCCCTTACATTGTTTACCAAAAGGTATAAATACAAACAAACTGCCACCAACTGAAAACATCTCAAAACATCAGTTGGACTGATAAACAAATACAGTCATACAAAAAGCATTAGGCATGATGACGTTCCAGAATGTTGCAGCTGGATATAAGGTAAGGGAATAGTTCAGTGTCAGAGCTCAAGGGACAGCAATGAGCAAGGGAGAAGGAGAGGCTGCCACCCTTCCTGCCTGCCAGCCTCCACAGGCTGAAGCGGCCAGATGCCCCTGGAACTTGTGGGCAGGCTGGGAGTCTCTTCCTATGACAGCCCAGAGACAGGCCAGGGAAGGGGCTTTCTGGGGGTTGGATGGCAAAGATACCCTGGCATGTTCTAGATACTGATGGTAAGGGTGTCATTGGAAGGGTTTACTTAAGAAAACAGATTTGCTGGCTGACTGTGACTACACCGGGACTATCCTGCAAGCTCATATATTTCATATTGTTTTATATCGTTGTGTGTTCATGTGGAGTATTCATGTATATGGAGGACAGAGGTCAGCTTTAGGTTTCATTTCTCAGGAGTCATCTACCTTGTTTTGAGACCGGGTTTCTCTGTGTAGCCCTGGCTATCCTGGACTCACTCTGTAGACCAGGTTGGCCTCGAACTCACAGGGATCTGCCTGCCTCTGCCTCCCAAGTGCTGGGATTAAAGGTGTGCACCACCATGCCTGGCTATTGTTGAGAATTTAAGTACACTCCTATTAGGCTAAAACCCTGCCCTCAAGTTCTGGAACATTTCTGAAGTATATTCTAATGGAAAAATATACCTCCATGACATGCATGCTGGTCAGTGACAACAGCCACTCCAGATGGTTAAGAACTGCACAAATGCAGCAGTCTGAGGGAGTTCAAGAGGGAAGGCAATGCTTTTTTCAGGTCAAGATGGCCTTTCTAAGTAACAGTGCCATCCCTGCTTTAGTCAAGAGTAGAAGAGATTCTAGAATGTTCCAGACATTTGAGTATTTTTGGCACACTGTACAAAAGCCCAGAATGTTCCAATACATTCCAGGTGGACATGATGTAGAAGGCCCTAATCAAGTGCCAGAAAGCGCTCATGGGAACGGCATGGGGCCACAGTGGCTCGGTGGGAAGCAGGGCAAGGCCAAGGCGGAGCGGAGAGAGTGTCGACAAAGATGTATGGAGAATGGCTTCCTCAGTGTGTGGGACACAGCTGTGACCGAGACACCAGTGCGTCGCATCTGGCAGAGGGACCATTTGTTAAACCAATCATCACACAAGTGAAAGAGCAACTGCTTAGTTGTCAACATGATAAAAACTGTAGTTGAGACATTGTGACATAGGTTGCGGGCCAGAGTTGGGAGGCTCAGGAGAGTCCTTCAGGCCAAAGAGCTGATCAGGAGTGCACAGGGAACAGCTTTCAAGGCACAAGGAACAGCCCTTGTGGGGATCAAGAAGCAACTTTAGTGTGGGAATCTGATTTTGCTCTCCGTTCCCTCTAGGAGGAGGCCAGAAGTCCCCATCCTTCCTGAAGTGTGTCCAGTGTCAGCTGCACAACCAAGTCTGGGTGCCTATAGCCCTGGCCCTGGCAGAGGTACCTGGCAGAGGCTGTAGGCAGGGGACTAGGACACTGGTTCCATGGCAATCCTGTGCCACCCGGACATATGGTTATTGCTGCAGGTTGCCATGAATCCAGCAAGACACCTGCCACCACCTGATCTGCATGGCATACCAGGTGACGACAAACAGAACTTTAGGGACGATTGGAAAACTAAGGCTCCAAGTTTAGGCGTCACCCCTGTGGTCAGAGGCTTCTGTCTCCCAAGACTCTGGAAGAAACCAGCAGCTCATGTAACTCATATAACTGGATGGCCCTGAGTTCCTCACAGGACACTTCCCAAGCCACCTCAGGTGTCACTGAACTGTGGCAAATCCCCTGTGATCTGAGTAAATCATGCTGACAAGGTAGATGGCCACAGAGAGCCTCAACAGCTGAAGAGACTCCAAGTAACAAAGCTCAAATTGGATCAAGGGGCTTTCAGTCTGGTGACAGAGCACTGTCTAGTATGTGTGTGAAGCCAGGGTTCTGTCCCCAGCACTGCATAAACTAGGTGGTGGGGACCCAGGCAAACTATTCCAGCACATGGGAGATGGAGGCAGGAGGATCAGGTGTTCAAGGCCAACCTCAGCTACATAGAAGCTGGGCCGGTGTGGATGGGTGAGGAGGAACCAGTCATCTCAGCACTGAGGAGACTGAGAAGGATCAGGAGCTCCAGGCCAGCTTGGCTGAGAGAGAGATTGATTGAGATTCCCGTGATCCTGTGGCCGGATTACAGCGAGTAAGGGTTGGTGTCTCCACAGAGCTGACTGGAGATAACACCGGACTGGCTCATGGGGGCCTTGCTGGCACAGTATGATTTGGGGTGCTGTGTGACAACAGAAATCAGGAGACATCCACGTCCGTAATCACACTTGCTCTTTACCAGATAGGACGGGTGGGAAGCTGGAGAGGACTGGAGCTGTCAGCTGTGAGAAGACAAGCATGAAATAAGGGAAAGAGGCCCCGGGGAATGGATGGGCTCCTTGTAAGTGGTGTGGAGAACTGGGCTAACTCGTCAGAGCAGCCACTCAGGTGGGGAGTGGGGGGGGGACCACACAGTGTTCTGGTTGCCAGAAGAGGGCTCCCAGTTCATACTACTGAAAATACACTCAAAAGTCACTGACACTCTCCCCAGTCACCTCAGCACTCATACTGAGGAAGGCATCTTGACAGTTCCAGGCCAGCTTGGACTACATAACAAAAACAAACAAACAAAAAAGTCAGCACAATAAAGGTGGGAGGAAGGACTCAATGGTTCAAAGACTTCTTGGTATCCCCATTGAGGGCTTGTCTCAGGGATGGAACACCTGCCTAGAATTTCCCAAGGAAGGGCTGGGGGTGGAGCCTCTGCCTAGAATTCGATAGTAAGGGGCTAGGGTGTGCTCAGCGATGGAGCTCCTGCTTACAATCCTTTACCAGGTGCCCTAGGTCAGAGCTCTGCCCCTAAGAGTAGGAAGGGAAGCCCAATAGCCACAAAATTATCAGGAGACTTCTTCAAGCACACACTAAAATAGCCACTCTATCTTTTATTCACTTTATTTAAAGGTTTATTCTTCCTCATCCCCTCCCAGCAGGGAGTCCCACCATTCCTTCCTTGGGCGGCTGGGTCACAAAAGATAAAGAAGGAAAAGGACCTTAGCAGAGGGAACCCCTAGACCTCAGCCCCCACGGCAAGGATACGAAGAAAGAAAAAGGCAACGCAGACAAGGTTCATAGTCAGAACTTGTGAGTAAAGTAAAAAAGCCAGCAGCCAACAAGACAAGACAGTGGGGCGGGTAGGCCAGACCCTCCCCTCCCAGCCACTTTGTCTCAAGGGGACTAAAGGATATGCTGGCAAAGAGAGGGAGGTAGGATTAGGGGGTAGATGAACCCAAGCCTGGTTCTCCACCCTGACCTTGGACTTCAGGGTGCGGTGCGGAGTAAACACGTAGGAAGGGGCCCCTGCATTTGGCAATAGGCCGGAGATTACAGTGTGGTCAAATCAAACTTCACCTTGTAAGGCAGCGGGCTATCCTCACAGGCAGGTGGTGGGGGCGGGAGCAAGGGCCAGCTGGACTCCACCAGGAGGCCCTTATGCTGTTCTGAAGGCAGAGGCTGTAGGGGTTGGCTTGTCTGGATTACCAGAGATCCCAGGGAAAAGAGACCTGCCCATCCCACCCACTCCCTAGCCACCATGAGTGTTACTCACCTGGAACTTGAGGTGCTGGCCCGGTGTGGTGATCAGAGAGCAGCAGCTCAGCCACAGCATGACCAGGACGGAGAGGAAGAGACAGCAGTACAAGGCCCATCGAGGCAGCCCCGAGCGCCTGTCCCAGGGCAGGCACCGCTCAGCCATCTGAACCTCAGGCAGTGGCACCCGGCCCGGCCAAGCCCACGGGCACCCACCGGGACATGCAACTGAGAAAGTCACTCTCTGGTTGGTCCTCGGACACGGCCTTGCTGGTCTTCACTCGGGTCTTAGCCCTCCTCACTTTGTCCAAGGGGTCTACAGGGTCTCAAAGGTAGGGAGCCACTCACCCCCTGGCCTCAACTAAGAGGCCAGCCTGGTGAGGAGAGGGAAAGGGAGGCCAGGACTTGAGCAGGAGGATGTGTAGGGCTGGGGTGGAGATGCAAGGGATCCTGGGATATGAACCATAGAATGTGGAGGTTGACCATGAACCCTGGGAGCCCATGGATCCTGTGAGGCTGATCATAGATCTGCTGCGATCTTACCCACGTGCACCTCCAGGGCCTCGGGGTGGGGCCCTGTCCAGGCCACCTCCACGCGCTGCAGACGGCTCCCTTGGAATGCAAAGCTTTCTACCACAGGCTGGGTCTGAGCAGGAAACAGGATGTCACAGAGACACCTTCTGATCTCAGCAAGCTCATCTCAGACCCAAGTGGGCTGCAGTTCCTTGTCCAGGTGCCCCAGTTCTCCTGCGATCATCACCCCTGGGCGATATCCATTAACCTTAACCCCACTGCTAATCTCCAGGAACATAAAGAAGCCCAGGCCAAGGACACGGAATTCCTGTGATTGGCTGAGATGGTCATGTGACCCAACCCGTGCCAATCAGAGTAAACCCCTATTCCGGTAACCGCCCACATGGAGAGCAGGCAAGATGGTTCAGTGAATAAAGGTGCTGTCTACCAGCCTGACAAACTGAGTTCCTTCATTGGAACCCGCATGGATGGCAAGAACGGACTTTCTGGATCTAACGTCGGCCGAAGCTCTCCCACAGGATGTCACTCTGGTTCACCCTGTCACAACTCTCTTACCTGGAACACCACCACCTTCCGGTTGTCTGTCTGAAGGGAATATGTCCAGGTGGAGGACACGAAGCTCTGGGCAGAACTCATAAGGTCACTGCAGAGCGTGGAGAATAAGTCCAGGAGTGCCAGAGGCCCAGTGGGTGGTTCAGAAGCCATTTTCTGTAAGGGGAAGCCCAACAGCCACGTCAACACACTCACTCTGGGGCACTGGCCTCCTGACTCCGGCAGCCTGCCCTGAGGGGGTCAGCTGTGTTCTCTGGGTCCCTTAGGGGGAGAACTCGGTCTCTCTCCTGGGTGTTTGGTTTTGAAGTGGGGATTTTAGGTTAGGGGTTCACCTGCTGCTGCAGCTGGGTCTCAGGGTCAGGGGTCTGGCCCCAGCACCCGTCACTGCAGGCCCGCTGCTCCGGCGCCTTCACGTATGCCTCAGTGCAGGCTGTGGGCCACACGATGGCGTCACCGGGGGCCGCTTCCCAGGGCGCCTCTCATGCGGGCCCACGGTGCACCCAGTCTGGGGACACACCTGCTTCACACTCTGTCTGCGTGGCATTGGGCCTAGAGCTCCTGGCCACGAAGCGACAGATGGAGAAAAGCCGACAACCACGCTCGCAAGCGCTGGCCAGCACGGCCTTGTTATTTGGGGACTCTGAAGGACCTTCCGGCTCAGGCTGGGAATGAGATAGGGACTCAGGCAAGAGGCCTTAGGGAAGAGGGCTGGGGTCCCCTAAGAACCCGGCAATGAGCTGAGGCTGGATGGAGAGCTGGGCTGCGGGCGGCTCTGAGCAACAGAAAGCAGCTTTCTGTTCAGACTGGGGCGTGAAGGTCCGGGCGGGAGGAGTGGACCCAGCAGTCTCCAGGTCCAGGCTGGCAGAGGGCTCCTCAGAGAGAAGCAGAGAGCTTGTTCTTAGGGGCACACAGGAGCAAGGCTGGCTCAAGGAAGAAGCAGTGAGAGAAACGTGGAGAGCAGAGAAGGGCGGCCACGGGGTCGCGCAGCCGCCCACCGCCGTGCGCTGTGTGGGAGATCTCTCAGGAGGGCTCAGCCTCCCTTCGGCATGCCCCCACCACACACTGTTCAGCCAGGGTTCGAGCCCTCCCGCCCTGGAGGGGCGGTGCTGACAGCCCCCCACTTCAAGCCGCCCTCATCACCGGCACCCCAGCCCCTCCCCCCGTGAAGATGCTCTACCCTGACTTCCCAGCCTCAAATGAGGGTCCGTCTCACCTTGTAAGGACCTCTCCCACATTCGAGGTTCCCCGATCCAGGCCCCCTCTCCTTCCAGGACCCCAGTCTCCAGCACTTCCATACCAGGGACTCGCTTTCCCTCCCCCACCTAAGGGTCTCCACCGTCGTTTCCAGGGACGGGGTTTCTGGGCGGCCCTCTGTTACCTGCGCGGGCGGCGGGCCAGGGTGGCGCTGGCGACACCGCTGCTGGCACCTCTGAGTGTCCCCGAGCTGCGGGGCGAAGGGGTCATGCGCTGGCGCTGGAGCGGCGGGCGACGCCGCTAACAGCAGCAACAGCAGCGGCAACCGTGCCGCAGCCATGGCCGAGCGTGCGCAGCGCCCGCCCCGGTGCGGGCGTCGGAATGCGGGACCAGGTGTTGACGTCACTGAGCGAGGCAGCCTGGGAAGAGGGAGAGCTGCGGCGAGCGGGGCGGGCAGGTGGATCCCCCCCCCCCCCGGGCCGGGACATCGCGATGCTCATGGCTCGTCGTCTGTGCCCCCAGACGGACCTGTGGTCCATGGGATGGCAAACGGGGCCTGGCTAGACAGGATGATGGGCCTATCTCAGGCCACTCAGGGAAGGAGGCCACGAGCAACCAGGGCAGAGAACATCAGGGTCCTTCATCAAGAAAGTAAAAAATGGACGAGGAGCGTGGACAGGGAGGGTGAGGGAGAACAGGGCCATAAGAGAAGGAGGCGAAGGAGAAGGATGAAGAGGCTGAAGGCTTAGGAGAATGGATGGGGAGGGGGTTAGGAGAATAAGAAGGGGAGGACGGCAAGGTGGAGGAGGGGAGAGGTGCAGCTGGAAAGAGAAAGGCGAGCCCCGGCCAGGCTGCCTGCGGGACGCTGCCGCTCCGGGGAAGGGGCCTTAGGGGCAGCTGCCTCCTCGAGGACCTTAGGGCACAGCACTGAGGTGGCCTCCCTCCTCTCCAGCCCAGAAACAGCCCTGAGGGAACCCAGAGGCCCCACGCCTGGCAGGGCCTCTAGGCCACTTTTCCCATGTGGTGGGAGAACTTGAAGCAAACAGGGACTGTCGCTTTCGTCTTGGGTTCGGCGCTCCCCTCGACCTCCTCTCCCCGGGCGCGGGGCGGAGGCTCCGAGCCCCACGGGCCTGCTTGGCACAGGTGCCTGCGGCCCGCGGGCCCCGTCGCCCCGCCCAGCAGACGAGGAGGCCGCTCTCGGGGTCGCGGGGTCACGGGAGCCGCAGGTTCCGGCCGGGAGGAGGGGATGACGCGCCCCGGGACGCGCCGGCCGCTCGCTTTCATCTCGGCGGCCCCGGCCGGCCCCCACGTGGCTTAATCAGGCGCGGCTGTGCCTGGCGGACCCAAACATCTGGATCCCGGCGCTCCCCTCCCCCCTCCGGGCCCAGGCCTGCCTCCCACCAGGGCACCCGGGGACCGGCCCTGCGCGCCGGGACCCCACGGTCCCCCCCAGCCAGACGGCTTGGCGGGTGCCTATCGTCCCAGCACGCGGAGAGGCTGAGGCAGGAGGATCGCAGCGAGAGCGAGGCAATCTAGGCAACGAAGTGAGTTCTAAGTCAGCCTAGCCCACAGAGTGAGACCCTGGCTCAAGAAACCAAACACAAAGCCTGTTTCCCCAATTTACAGGTGGGAAACCTGGCATCCGGGCGCCTGGGCAGAGCCGGAATTCAAGTTCACACTTGCCATCTGCAGAGTCCCGGGCACTTAACCCTTCCGCAATTACGGTCCTTCATTCATTTCAAACAAACACTCCTTTCAACAAAGATTTTCTTGTCACGACTATTTTTTTTTTCTTGCAAAAACTTATAGGGTAGGGCTGGCCACCCTTCCAAATTAGGTCATCGGAACCAGGAATGGCACAGGGAATTGGCCTAAGTGACAGGATACAGAAGAGAGCTGGCAGAGGCTGCCACGGGGGGGGGGGGGGGGGTAGGGGGGGGGTGGGGGAGGGGGGAGGGGGGGGGCTGTGGGGGGGGGGTGGGTGGAGGTTGGGGGCCGGGTTGGGCTACGTGAGACCTTATGTGTGGCGGGGGCGGGGACGTCGTGTAGTTGTTTGCAAATGGAGAAACTGAGGCTTGAGGGGTTGGGTCGGAGCGCCCCGGGGCTGAAAGAGTTTGATGGCTTCCAGCCACCCCACCCCCACCTTTTCCGCTCCTCGAGGCCGCTGAGGGGAAGCGGAAGAGGACTTGACCCCGGCCCCCCAGGTGAGCCCCGGCGCCCCTGCAGGCGTTCCCGGGGGAGCTGGTCCAGGTGAGGGGCGGGCGGCCGGCGGGCGGCCGGGGTCGGATTTCAGGAAATCCGCCGACATTCCTTCGGGGCTTAAGAGGGAAAGTTGACTCGCCGCCGCCCCGCGTCCCCCCCCCCCACTTCCTACCCCCCGGGGCGGCGCGGCCGGGGGCGGGGGGCGCTGTCCGCGTGAATCAGCGGACTCCCGGCGTCCGGGAACCAGCCACCGGGTCAGGCGGGCAGCAGACAAGCGCCCTTTGTCCCTGGCCGCCCTCGGCACGACCCTGCTGACCCCCACCCCCAAGCGTTGCTGACTTGGGGGAAGCGATGAGAGGAGGGGCGCGATGCCCCCCCAAACGTCCGGCCATCTTGGGACGCAGCCCCAGTCTCTGGAGGGTGCAGAGAAACGAGGAGCCCAGCCTGGCCCTCCGCACAGCCCACCTCTAGCACTTCAATTTTAGCACACTAGGAGAGTGAGGTGAAGCGCCCACTGCAGGGTTGCCCAGGCTGGGGAGAGAGGCTGGGGCAGCCGCAGGCCCTACGCCAGACCCGCCAGACCCTCGCCCAGAGCACGGGCAGGTACAGGCAGGAGTGGGGAGGCGCTTCTGGGGGAAGGTCAGCTCTGCCCTTCGCAGTCAGACAGGCCTGGGTGTCCACCCGCCCTGCCGCTCCACCTCAGAGCCTTGGGGACGGATCTGGGAATCTGAGGCTCAGGAAATCTCCCTGATTGAAACCTACAGGAGACCCCTGGCTGAAGAGTTCAGGACTAATGGAGAACCCTTCCAGCCACCCCTGACATTCCCAGCCTCCTTCAATGACTTAGGTCAATATTTGTCAGAAAGTACACCATGACTACCTTCCTTTCCTAAGCAGAGAGAACTGGACTGGGCCTATGAGGACAAGGACTGGGTGGCTGCACCTTAAGGTCAACATCTTTACCCAAAAGGGTAAAGGTCACCCAGAGGACATAAGTCAAAAACCAGAGAGGTCTGCCAGCTTGGGCCACACATCGAAGGGAGGTGTGTGGAGCCTTACTTTGAGGCCCCGTGCTCCATTGCTTGCTGGGGCTGTTTTCTGGATACTTGGAGGGACAGGGTTCTTTCGTGACTTTTTCTTTTGTGAGCAGTATTTATTGAACTCTCCTGGCCCTCACTGGGCCCAGCATGCGGTCTGAGGGCCCTCAGGTGTTCAGGGCTTACAAAGTTAAGTGGCCTGCTATAGAGCCCGCGCTTTGATGATGGGCTATGCTACAAAGACAATAAAAGAGAGTGGAGGTGGCCATGACGTTAAAAAGGGCTTAGGGACGTCACAGCAAGGGCCCTGAAAGCACGGAGCCAGGCAGTTGCCCCAACAGCCAGGAGGCTGGAGATGGGAGCACATATGGAGAGCGCCTGGTGGGCGACAGAGTAGAGGTGGGTCTCAGTCCTTCAGAGCCCGCTCTGGCCTGTGGTTAAAACAAAGACAGGAGGAAGAAACCCCAGAGGAGGCCCTGCAACATTCAGGGTAGAGGATGAGGGGCCTGAACCAAGCTGGGGGTGGGGGTGTCAGAATCTCACAATGGGGGTGTGTTTTGGAACCAGGGCCAACCGGATTGCTGATGGATTGTATGTGTGGGAAGAGGGAAAAGCGCGCAGTCACGTCGCTCCAGGTCCTTGCCTGCAACACCTGGGTGCATAGGGGGAAGCTAGCCTTTCCACCCGGGACCGAGGAGGAGGTACATTCCGGAAAGAATAAAATAAAGCTCTTTATTTCAAAAGCCTCCCAGGGGCCCAAGTTCCTACCTCCCTACCTATGCTGGGAACCGGAGAGAAGCAGGCACGGTGGGGGAGGGACAGTGACGGTCCTGGAAAGGTGGCCAGCACCCTCGACCTCCACAGAACCAACTAGGCCACCTGGCCACCTTCTCAGAGGGGACCTGCAGGCCAACAAGCCACCTCTGGACCCTACTGTGCTCCTCAGATTTAAGACTGGGGGACATTTTCCCCCCAGACTTGATTCTCCCTGTGTCAACTTTTCAGCTGCCCCCAAATTATCCACCGTGCAAAAGAAGAAACTGAGGCTAAAGAGGCCTGGTTTGGCCCCAGCAAAATGGCAGGGGCCTCCTTCGTTTTTATTTCGCTCCTTTGTCATTTGAAGCTACCTGGGGAACCTTTAAGGAAGGGGCTGAGGCTCGCAGGGAAGAGTCGAACTCTCCGGGAGCTGTGGCTGGGAGCCGTTCCCCAACCAGTGGGGTGGGACCACCCGGGAACTCGCATTTTAAGCACCACCCCACCCGCAAAGACCTTGCAGGCCAGGGGCCTCCCTTCTCTTCGTGGGCATCCGGACAGGGTGGAGTCGAAGAAGCGATCAGGGAGATGAGATGCCAGGACTGGGCTGGCCCGGGAGGGGTCCCCCAAACCCCAAACAGTGGCCAACAAAAATAACCCCAAGAAAGAACTCCGCGCTCAGTCGAAAAGAACTATGCGTTGCTCGGGGCTGCCCGCGTTACCTGGGGTTGGCGGGCGGCGGCCGCCGCCGCAGCGATTACTCACCGCGTGGCGCACCCCACCCGCGGGCCGCTGAGTGGATTTTTCCGTGGGGGGGATGTGAAGAAGTCTAGGGAGAACTTCTGCACCGATGCTCCTCTGGGAACTAGGAATGCGGGGTTCTGGGCCCATTCACCAAGGGACGCAACTCTGCCGTGTGCCCACTCTCGGGGGCTCCCTGCGCGCTGCCGGCACCCTAAAGCCAGCGCCCGCAGGGGGACGGGCGAGGTGGGCCCGGAGGCCAGGGCTCGGTGCCTTCGGCTGTTTCTTCCTGTGCGGCCGAGGCTGCGCAGCGAGGACGGGGGACGGGGAATGAGGACTCGGGGGGGCGGGGCGGAGGGGCCTGGGCGCCCAGGGCACGGGGTTCGGGGGCGGCTGACCAACCTTTGGAGAAGGAAGAGAGGCTGGAACCGCTGAGCGGGTTCAGGTACTCCTCCGAGAGGGCCCGGGGGCCAGAGGAGGGGCGGGGAAGGCGGGTGCGCTGGGGAACCCTGAAAGGCGGAGGGCTGCGAGCTGGG